CATCTGAGCAATAATAATAAAATAAACAACAAGATAAAACAAACAAATCAGAGTAAGACAAAAGAAACCAGAGAAAAGAGCCAAAGGAAAAGCACAAGAATCATATATAGATATAGAAACAGAAATTCACACATAGGAATCTCATAAAAACACAAAAGCAGAAGTCATAATATATATGTGTATATGTATATGTATATGTATATGTATATGTATATGTATATGTATATGTATATGTATATATAAATACAAAGGGCCTGTAGATTCCATTGAGTTCATTTGGTGTTGACAATCTGCTGCTGGGGAGGAGGCCTTCCCTTAAGAGTGGTTTGTTTCCCCAGTGGGACCCATTGGTGAAAACTGTTTCACCTGCCAGTGGCTATCAAATGGAGACAGCTTCTGCGTTTGGGATGGGGGAATGTATCCACTTCTGTCTATCCAGGAGCCCATCTGGTTCAGACCTGTGCATCCTGCCATAGTCTCTGAGTTTACATGTGTGTCTGTTGTGCTTTGTTTACAAGACCTTGTTTTCTTGGTGTCCTCCATCTACTTTGGCTCTTCCAATCTTTCTACCACTACTTCCAAAGAATTCTCTGGGCCCTGAGGGAAAGAATTTGATAGAGAGATCCAGTATAGGGCTGAGGTTTTCAAGGTCTCTCTTAGCACATTTTCCGGCTATGGGTCTCTGTGTTTGTTCTCATCTGCTTCTGGAAGAAGCCTCTCTGATGATGTCTGCTCAGGACACAGATCTATGAGCCCAGCAGAGTGTCATTTGGGTCATTTTATTGCTACATTCTTTTAGTAGAACACTAGTATTTGATTTTCTCCTTTGTCCCTTGGCCTATTTAGACTCAGGTTCTTCACCATGCAAACAGTGTCCAGTACGAATTCCATGCTTTAAATCAAATGAGATATTGGTCGGTTATACTCACAAGTTTGTGCCATTATTATACTAGCATATCTTACAGGCAGGACACCATTGTAGATTGAAGGGTCTGCAGCTGGGTTGGTTTTTACTTTTCTCTTTTTGTAGTGTCCATGTTACCTTCCAGTACCATGAACTCTAATCTGTAGGGGTGAAGGCTTTAGATTGGCCCCCGCTTGAATTCTTTGAGTTCAATTAGATGTGTAGGTGTGCCAGGGACTGCATATAAACATGCTGCCAGCAGAGATTGGAGAAAAGCGGACCCAAGATTGTGGACCATCAACCCTCTGTGTGTTCCCCTTCGGATCTTGTACTTAGCATGCCTCTAGAGGGCCAAGGCAGAAATGCTTTTGTCCCAAGGTCATGCTTTATGACATGCACATGTCATGTCCTCCTCCATATAAATACTTCTTGTAATACTAGTCTTTTTCTTCTATCTGATCTTCATGTTCTGTGTTCCTAGATCAGTGGTGATTTCTGTGATACAGGAAAGAAGTGAAGTAAATTTCACAGGAAATTATACAGAGATGATCATCCAGGCTGGGGTTAAGGAAGTTTTACAGTTCATGGGAAAGGACCTGCAGCCTGGGGAAGCTTTTCAGGCTTGGATAAACTGTACCAAATGTGAGGTCAACTATAGC